TTGCTGTCAATTTTTCTATCAACATCTCCCAAAAACGTTGTAATAATATCTATGTTTCACGTGAAATCTCTTGCCATCGTCTCGCAGTAAAACAGTGGGAAGAAAATGGAGTTAAAACGTTTAACTCAATTTTCTTCCTACTGTTTTACTGCGAGATGCACTACAATATTATGGTGGGGTATATTTCTCATTCCACCATTTATCACATACGAACCATCATCTCCTTACAAATTAAATGTCTCTCACCCATCACGAACAATCACAACTATCCATTTACTAGAAGACAATAATTGCAAAACACCTCTTTGATGACCTGCGATCTGCGGCAAGTGTGATACTCATAAAGTTTCGTTTATTTCGACACATCGTAGAAATGTCTATAGTTGTATTTGGAACTAACACAGAAATTGAGTCATTGGCGTGGTTTTAAAGACCGAGGCAGCCATAGTACACCAGCATGTGAGAGATCCTGATATAAAAAAAGGTGGATAAATAGTATCTCTATTTCGTAAATTGCTTCTTTTAAAACGTTTTGCACACAAAATACCCGTTCTAAGGGGTCCGTTTTGTGGCTTTTCTGGATACCGAAATATTGACTTACGGCATCTGTCTATCTGAGGTCAACAATAGCACCTAAACCGCCCAGGCGATTTACTCCAAAATTGATTTTCCTTATTCGGTCTAGACGAACTCGAGGTCCTGTAAATTCGAAACAGATCTTGTAATTTTTGGAAAAAATGCAATTGACGCGTAAATTGGCGTAAAATATTGGCAATTTAAAAAAGCCTCAAATTCTTAATTTTTTATCCAAATATTGCTTATAATATATATAATCGCAACAGTTAAATGCGAGAAACTACGAATTGTTGTCACTACTAGTTTAGTACGAATTAAACTTAATATGTACTCTTGGATTCGTTCTCATCATGCAAGGCAGTCGTCATTTCATTCCTTCGGTTGATCCCCAGTGTTCTGTTAACTTCGCACCACCCAGTTGTTCATATGGCCGAGCTTCTTCGACGTACACGTACTGCAGAGACAATTTCCAATCAAAAACAACGAAAACTTCTAGTTTACGTGCATGATTGCTGAAAAAATCCAACCAAATGTTTTTGAGTTGTAGAAATGTGTTGTTAGTGCGAACACCAATTTGTAACATGATTTCCAATGAAACATGTTTTTTTTGTTTTGTTTTTTCGTAATCTAGAAAATATTGCCTCGAAAACCGTAACAAAATTAATGTTGCGTGGAAGTCAGTCTGTGCCCCAAATCACATTTGCTTTGCAGAGACACGGACACCCACCAGCTTGTAGATGCCTGCTGCGGAGAGGCTTCGGTGATAATTGGAAGCGCGCTGGGAGGGTTCTGTGAAGTCCGCATAGGGCGAGCTTTAATCTCGCGTTCCTGCCCACGAAAGCTCCCCATCGGTGCAATGCACGATACATTATCTTCAGGCAGATAACTCCCAACCACATGCAGGAACTTGTGAGGGTAAGCATGTTCATTTAAACGGGAAGGGGATACATGATAAAAGCATTTTTAAATTCATTTATTTTTTTAAACTATTGAGATAATTTTAACTGAAGGGAGATGAAAAAGACTCTGTTTTAATGAAACTACTAAAAAAAGGATGTTTCGCAATAAATGTTTATTATTAATATTTTTAAAACTAACATAACTGCATGTTTAGCCATTGTTTTGGTCAGTGTAGAATGATGAATCCTCTTAGATAAATCACGACAAATCGTATTTGTAGTATGGTAACGGTATAGATATTTAAGGAATGTAATAATCGATTAAACGAGCCCCTTCAACCTGACAAAAGGTTAGAATTGAAACATCATTACTTTTGATATCAACAAAAAACAAGCTGCAATAGGAAGTCGTTTGTCTGCGTAGGATTCAAAAGAATCAATGCTGGAGCAGACCTCTAACGGATTATGAATCTCTCAGGCAAATTTTCCTTCATCGCGTTCTTATTCTTCTGTCCCGTGTTTGGCGAGAATGATTTCGCATTCCACTGTGTATCACAACTGAACTCTTTCATCGGTAATCATTCATCTCTCACTATCATTCGCTCCTAAAGAACGTCCCCCAAACATCGTCCATTACTAGAACACAGGCAATAGTAAATCACTTCTACATTTCCTGGCCCAGACGATGGAAATGCATATGCCCGTACGTCAAGGAACCATTGGGAATCTCATTAGGCTGAAGCGCAGGGTTGGTGCTATACGTGCAGGGAGATGGAGAATATCGAACAACGGACCCTGGAAGGGATTCCCCGACCAGTCGAAGAGCTGTATGCAGTGGGAGCGAGGGTTGGGGGAGGGAGGTGCTTCAGCTGAGGCAGGGATTGGGCCTCATAAACTGGCACGGGGCCAACCAATCCGGTAGCCCGGCAGACTACCTCGGGGGTGATTCCGTGAGGTAGGGTCCTGACCACGGAAAAAAGCTTGAATTCACCGCTCACCGATATACCTTAGGTTGCATCACTGATACGTTATGAAGTGAGGATTGTAGCATGTTATATTTATCGTAAAAATGCAATGAAAGAAAAACTGTCGAGCCTTTCAGTACGTATGTTCCGCTAGGGCAATGTGGTGATGCTTTTAACATAGTTCTGATGACCTCCTTTCCTTTTTATACTTGAAAGCGCATTAGCGCGACCCTCTAGTGCCTTAATTTTTGCGGTTAATTTTCGCCAAATTGTGACCTAGTTGTAACCTTTTTGTTTATCCAAAGAGCCGGGGCTAACGTGTGGAACGTGCGACGCGAAAGGTCGCGGCGGAGGGTTGTGCGGTCGGCGGCGACGCTTTGTCGAGGGGTCGTTGCGAGGGGGAGGGGGTGCAGGGATGCGGAAGTGGCGAGGGGGAAGCGCAAGGGTAAGCGAACCAGGGGAAGGAGGGCAGTGCGTGGGTGGAGCAGGGGCGGTGGGGTGTGGAAAGGGCATGGTGCATGGTTGAAGAGTGTGTGGCTCGGGGTGAAGATCGGATGGCGTAGATGTGAGGATTTGCCGTCCCGGAGCAGAGCAGGTGAAACGATCAGGCGAGCGGAGAGACGACGTGGTTACAGGATGCGAAATGTAGGAGACGACGGACAGCCGCGCAGGAGAGGTTTCCACGCAGGGCTGAAAATGCCCCGATCAGGAGCGCCAAGAGCGGCCCGACGGGACGGGGCGAAAGAGCGTCATCGGGGAGTTTGCAGCGGGAGGGCCGTGGGCTGACAACTTCTTCAGCCGGGCCGGGTAGCGGGTAGACAAAGGTGGAATGCAGAAGGAAACTGGGGGGGGGGCGAAGAGGGTCCATCGGGGGGCGGATAGGAGAATAAAAGGAACGGTAGGGCTGGGACAAGAGGACGACACAGAGGAAGAGAACAGGTAGAGGGGGCGGATACAGGGGTGCGGGGAGCGCAGAGGTTACGGCGCTTTCGGGACAGGGGAGCGGGCAGCGCGGAAGTCCTTGGCGTTTGGAAAAGTAATCGGTGAGCAGCGGAGAGACAGACGGTGCTTGGCGCGCAGGGCGGCGCACTGGGGGCGATTGCCATCCCACTCGAATGTGAAGCGCGGGGCACTGAAAGGGGGCGGGCGCACGTAGGCCATCTGATTTCCAGCGGCCGCGTGGCGGCGCCGTCTGAATCGATTCAGCTCGTCGCGCCACCCACGCCCTAGTGCGCGCGTTCTAGCACGTCCGCGGCGGGGGTGGCCGTGGCCTTCTAGCGGGGGCGGGAGCGTACTTTAACGCCACAACACCTTGCACGACACCGCCACATCCCCCCTCCCTCGCCCCCACCCTCCACGACCCCACACTGCCCGCGCTGATCGCATGGAGTGCGTCGACTTGTTCCAAGACTGACTCGGTCCTTGATGATTGTTGCTTCACCTGATTTTTATCTGATCTTATGACTCACTGACCGATATGTAGTTTGGCCTGTGCTCTGGCCGGCGTGATGGCACAGGTTGATTACAAGTCCTTGATAACAAAAATCAATCTTGGTGTCATTTTAAGGTTTCAACAAGTCACGACCTCACTGCCGGCTGCCTTGACATCTGAAGACAATAGATGAGTTGGTTGAGTAAGTGTTAAAAAGATTAGCGAACAGCTAAGTGAAAGTGTGAATGGAAAATTAGATACTATAAATTAAGACTGATGACTTTCGGAATGTGAACAACCGAACAAAGAATGAGAGGAATATTGACTACTTTTGTAGTTTTATATTTAAAAAACTGAGTATTGATCCTTTCAGAATTGCTAATAACATGAAAAGAGTGAACGAGTAGTTTGGGATAAATCTGGTGTCCCCCAAAATGAACATTACGGAAGTTTTATTTCAAACAACGTCCTTTATTATTTCGAGGCTATAACGTCGAAGAGCAGGATATAAAAGTCAACGAAACAGTTCTTAATATGTTCTGAACAGTTCTTAACAGTTCTTTTTATTCTTGTTAACACATATATTTTTTTATCGACTTCACTGAAATTAATTAGCTTTCCACAGAAAGTCAGGTACCCAAATTAAATTCGCTGGGTTGCTGCTAATGTTTTTCCAGCTCTAAGAAGAAAAAATGTTCACTACGGAAAATCTAGAATCAAGATAAATGAAGGGAAACTGTAGAAACACAAGTATTATTATTATTATTATTATTATTATTATTATTATTATTATTATTATTATTGTTATTATTGATATTATTGATATTATTGTTATTATTATTGTTATTATCGATATTATTGTTATTATTCTTGATATTATTATTATTCACAACGTATAAGAGTATCCCCATACTCTACTCTGGTCGTCCCCTGCTCTTATAATGGAAATAACATTGTTTTTCAAGGACCAAGGAAAGTCACAAACTTCAAAATAACTTTGTTACTTTTTGGCTGTATATTTTAATTTAAGGACCTAGCGGAACAAACACCGCCCTTCATCGTATACAGAATCTCAGCAATATTTGTTGTTTTTATTATTATTAATAATTGTTTTACAATTTACAATAGCTGACAACAAAGAGAATGTGGGCGTTTACAAGCACTTGTATAGGGGTCCTCCTCCTCCTCCACCACTTCCGATGTCAGTACGCGCTGCTCAGGCCCTCAACCGGGTGCCCGCTTTACGACCGGCCGCCTCGCCGCGCGCCGTTATGGCAACGCCACCGACGTATCGCTCGGGTGTTTTACGACGTAACTTGTGGAATGATGCGGGCGGAGTGCGGGGACGTGCTTCGGCCGCGAGGGAGGCGGAGGCGGCGGCGGCGGAGGGTGCACGTCCTCGTTTTAGGGGTGCTGGATCGGGTCAGATTGTTCATGTGCCCGACGTCAGGTGCGAGATGGAACACGTGGATTATCTTTTACTTCGGTTGAATGGCGTACCTCAAGGTCCACTTACCAGGGTATGCGGGAGTACTGGTGTGTTTTTTTTAATAATTTTATTGTTAAGTGAGATAGTTCGCTTTAAACTTGGTTGATGATCTGTTATACATATATCCCTGAGAAATGAGATGAAAATAGAGCCGACAGCGGGTCTTGTTCATTGTCTTTCGACCGTGCGTTAATACAAAGCTTAGGTTTATATTAAAAAACAATCGTTTAGAGAGATGTGTTTCAGATACTTCCTTCTGTGGTTGTTGAATGTAAGAACTCATTATGTAGTTTCGAAAACGCCCTCGCTGATGAGATTAGGGTATAAGTTTTACAATACCCTAACAATATGTTTTCCGGTACAATATGTATTATTCATATTGTATTTGGAAGTTTTACTGTGCGTCAGTAGTAGACTAGTTTTAACTCGCCACCTTAATCTGAATGAGAATATCTCATACATATTCCTTTCTTGGGAAATGTGTATCATTGCAGAATCAGTGGAACCCAATGGTTTAAAGTATGTAAACTGAGACATCTGTTTCGATAAGAGATAAAAAATTACATGCCAATCCAATTTATTAAAAAAATATTTTTATGCACTGCGTCACCACTGAATTTCGAAGTGTGTAATGTGAATAATGTGTCCACCTGAATAATGTGGACAGAACGTCACCTACCATTACGAACACATTGTAAGCCTGAAAAAACACAAGTCAAAAAAAATAAATGAGTTTTGGGCAAATAATAGAATACTAGATATGCAAGCAAATTGCGTGTTTGTATGCATACAATATTAATATGAACATTTACTGTTTTGAAATGTTTACAAACATTTGTATTGAAATATTGAATTAAACACAATTATCTCATACCGACCAACCACGACCTGTCTCCTCACATCGCATTGTTTGTTTTTTATTAGATTTTTCTATTCAGGATATTTTTCAGTTAAAATATAAATAGAACAGTCTTATACTGCAATTCTTTTACTTGAAATATTATATATTCTAAGTATAATACTCTTTCACCTCGCAGGGTGTAAACTATAGCAGGATATTTGCAGCGCTAACCAGGATAATTTTAGCCTGAAGTACAATATATACTGTGAGGAAGTGGAAATAATACGAAATCAATAACTGCAGTGGCCAGTTGTATGATAACCCTTTCAACGCTCTAGTTGGTTTTAACAGACTATTATTCACAAGACCAATTCTGAAACCCTGTCAAGCTTTCGAGAAGCAACGGCCGCGGCTCTTTTTCTGACAAACGTCTATTAACTGGAATTGGACGCTTCAATTTAGTTACGGCTAACGTGATGGTGAAATAGAGCTGGGGACACAGTTCTTTTTTTTCTGTTCGTAAAGGCATTCCCCCGCTAGCGACCCAACTCCCAATCGACCCAGACACGAACGTCAGCCGGTCTTCATTGCATTAGTACAAATTTGAAAACACAAATCCTAACGTAGCTCTCTTTTAAAACGTGTACTTATGCAATAAAGCTTAGCATTATAAACTATTTGCATAATATACTATTGTCTAACTAAAGAACAAGCCAAAAACGAACAAATAGAAAAATTGTGTTTATCTATACAGAAATAAGATCATGAGCAACGCAGTATAGAATGAACATGAATTCATATCATATGTTTGTAGATCAATTTGGCTTACTCATCAGTAAGTGAGATTCACGAATATAATTCAAGTAATATTCTACGACATAAAAATATATACTAGAATTTCTGTGAGTGGCGTAGCGCCAAGGAATTACTCTCAGCACTGTTGAAAAAAGCTTCGCCAGTTTTGTGGTGATGCTTCCCAAACGAGAGCTTGGCAGTGGTCTCGTCCCTGCGTGTGAAGGCGCATATGATGTTCACAGGCCTCCGCCACCACTGCCTCCGCCGGCGATAACGACACCCCTGGACACTGTGCCCTCGTGGCTGCGCCTTCCGGTCTCCACTGTCGCCCCGATCCACCGGTGCTTCTATAGGCGAAACAAGACGTAAATCCGAAAGATACACTACGTGATCAAAAGTATCCGGACACGCACAAAATCGTGTTACGGTGTGGTCGTGTTTTTCATGGAGGGGGCTCGAACCCCCTTGTTGTTTTGTGTGGCACTATTACGGCACAGGCCTATGCTGATGTTTTAAACACCTTGCTTCCCACTGTTGAAGAGAAATTCGGGGATGTAAATTGTATCTTTCAACACAATCGAGCACCTATTCATACTGAACGGCCTGTGGCGGCGTGGTTACACGACAATAACATCCCTGTAATGGACTGGCCTGCACATAGTCCTGACTTGAATCCTATCGGACACCTTTGGGATGTTTTGGAACGCCGACTTCGTGCCAGGCCTCACCGACCTGCATCTCTTCAGTACAGCACTCCGAGAAGAATGTGCTGCCATTTCCCATGAAACCTTCCAGTACCTGATTGAAAGTATGTCTGCGAGAGTGGAAGCTGTCATCATGGATATGGGTGGGCCAACACTCTATGGCACTCCAGCACTACCAATGGATGACGCCACGAAGTGATTTACACATACAAATTTGGCTTGTACTAGCAGAAACACATTTTTTTATTATATCAATTCCTGTCTAATATTAATTTATCTAAATAACTCATCATAATTTTTACGTCCGTTATTCGTAGGGAGTTTTAAATGTCAGAAATTTCTCCTTTCTCTTCAGACAGTTTTTGAGTAAGGCAATAGTCTGCCTGGAAATGCCTAATCACAGTAGCGATTTCAGGCATATCTGGTCTTATATAATGAGATGCAAAACCTAATAATAGAATTGCAATGGTAGTGTTCTAGATCCCGATTTAATATTGCAATACTTTGTGGAAATAAAATCAATATATGGAAAACGCAATTAGCACATCATAAATGAGGCACGTTTCGCAATAGACTGCGCATTTTTGGCCTTCGTCTGTGTTTGTGCGCGCTGACGTGATGCTGTTGTTTACATAAACCGCATCGTATAGAAATATACTCTAATAACTACTATAAAATTTAATTAAAACAAGAGCTTAATTTACATTGCAATGATCACATATATTATCTCTATTTCCGTTGCCATATCCCAGAATTTCTAAAAGGCTCAAATTGAATTCCGGATCTGCAAATATGTCAGTGTGTAATATTACAATTATTAGGCTTATTATAAAGGCCCGTGCAACGCTTAATATCGCAATGTTTCTTCAATGTTTTTGTGAGCAATGTAAACAGTACGGCCGTCGCAAGAGCAAGTGGAATAATCCAACTTCTCATTGAAGGTCACCTGTTATCGTAGAGTAGCTATTGCAGGGTTTTACGCAACATGTCCAATTCAGCATTTATCGCCCATTACCTATACCACTGAGCGATAAACTTCTGAAGTAGAAACACTAAAATAGAGATATTGGTGGAGATGGAGTTTCAGTTAAGAAGTGGTGAGGAGATGGCTTTGCAGAACGACGCTAAAAAAAATTCTACCGATTGTGCCGCGGGCTGGAAAATACTACGCTCCCTCGTATTTCAGAGAAAAATTGTAATGTCATAATTGATGGAAGTCTGACATTTTTCTTAAATTTACTTGTAGTGATGTGTTAATAATAATTTAAATTTTCAGCATATTCTATTATATGATACGAAAAGGGAGGGATTACAAATCGTCTTCACAGTAAGCTGAAAATATTGTATTTGTGTCACACATTAATTGTGAATTCGATACCAAAATTTCTTGAAATAGAAGAGTAGTACACATGCGTATTTATAATACATTTATAATGACATATAATTAAATCACATGTCACGGTAAATATGTGGCAAAATTAAGCAACGAGGAAAACATATACAAGGAATTTTTAAAAGAGTGAAAACCGTTTCGACACATCTTCCTCGTGCTTTAGGTCATTTCGTGTTTGTAAAACCTCATTACTGCAGCCAACCGAGAACGCTTAAATTTTGAAATCCAGAGTGATTGACAGCTTGTTGAATCTCTTTTAAATAAATTAAATTTCAATTTTCGTGTAAATGGAAACGAGGAATGTGGATTTATTGGGTTGAAAGGTGATGTCAAATTATGTAATCTGTTTTCAAAGCGTTAACATTTGCACTAGAGTTGTCTACATAACGTTCAAATAATTTCGCGTATCAAAGACAACAAAAGGAAACGTGATTATGAATATATCACAACCTGATCTTTTTCGAATATTGTGGGAATTTGTTTGTAGATAATTCAGTTTGATATCATTGAGTTTACAAGATACGTGAGTCTATTTATCCCTCTCAAAACAGTCATAATCACCACCATATTCATATGTCTGGTGTGTACTTTTCACAAACTATTTTCCTGAAGTAATGAGCATGTTCAATATTAAAATTCATTTGCATATCGGCAATATTTTTGGTACAAGTAAATCTGTGTATTAGTAACTAATTAAATGTGAGGAGTGCAAAATTTGACACTTAATTCTTTCAATTTTTTGTTCCAATTTAGTTCAGTCATACTTGTATATATCTTCCAAATATTATCAGATCTTCATTGATTATCAATGCAGATTTAAATTAAGGATTTTGGCAGTCTTTCTGACGGAATATTATTGGTGTATCTTAGATCGATGTATCTTAGATTTTTTTATATTTTTTCTAGACATTGCTTTCTTATTGATTTTAAATCACTTTTAATCAATTTAGTAATTAGCGACCACAGGAATAAATAGACAATTTTACAGAATTTTCTTACTGCGCAATACTGTGGAAGTCATGTTTTTTAACCAGGTTTTCTCAATTAATTAGCATCCATTTAAAAATCGCGAACCACGGGAGCGATTTTTCACTCTCACATTAGGAAATCTGTTTCGACCAATGAGCGAAAGCTTTCGAGGACGAAAATCTTCCACTTGAGGCCAGGGCGTGCGCATTACGCGCGTCTTCTGGCCGAGCCCGAGTGTGTGCGTCAGACGGAAGCGTGTCGCCTTGATGACTGCGAAGTGGTCGCAACAATAGGACAGTCGCCAAGGAGCATTATGGCTGCGGTTATCGACTCGGGCGGAGAAGCGTCGTAGGCGTGTGGGCGGCTGCGAGCTGTGGCGGTGGCGGTGGCGGTGGCGGGGGTCGCCGTCCCTGGTAGCGGTGGCTGTGGTCACGGTCAGGGGCAGAGAGCACTCGGGTCGGCACGGAAAGGAACCAGAAGGTGGTGAAACAATTGACGGTGGGGTGTCGGTGTCGGCGTCGGTGGGAGTGTTGGTTTCGGTGTTTGGGTGGAAGTGTCGATTTGGGGATGTCGGCGGGAGTGCCAGTAGGAGTGGGTGTGTCGGGTTCAGTGTCGGTGGGAGTGTCGGTGTGGGTGTTTGGGTGGAAGTGTTGGTTTCGGTGTTTGGGTGGGAGCGTCGGTTGGGTGATGTCGTCGGGAGTGCCAGTGGGAGTGTGTGTGTTTGTTTTAGTGTCGGTGGGAGTGTCGGCGTGGGTGTTTGGGCGGGAGTGTCGGCGCGGGTGTTTGGGCGGGAGTGTCGGTTTCGGCGTCAGCTTCAAAAATACAACATGTGGAGAAAGAGGCGGCGGTGGCGGTAGAAGTGTCAGTTTCGGCGTCGGTGGAAATGCGGTTTTTGGCGGCGCTGGGAGCGTCGGTTCTGTGCCGGAGGGAGTGTCGGTCTCGTCGCCTGCGGCGGCGGCGGCGGCTGTGCGGGTGTCGAAGGGCCACTTTGCACATGAATGGTTGCGTGGGCGAGTGGAGTGAGGAGCACCGCCGCGGGAGGCAAGCTGTTTACCGGCGCCGTGACTGGAAACTAAACGTCGGTGCGAGCTCCTCTACGACAGATAGCCCTCTCGGAGCGTGTGTTTGGAGGACACAGCTCTTTCTTGTTCGTCTTCCGGGTTGAAATTTCCGGATCGACCAATGTGTGCGAAGGTTGTCAACAAAAGGATCATCATAGCGATTGAAATGTGATTGCAGTTTTATCGATATTTTCGCGTAATGATAACCGTAGGTCCACATTATTAATGTCGTTTCTTTATCAAGGGGAATTTAGGAATTTCAATCTTGGTTTTCACAGAGCGCAAAACTTGAACACAGAGAAATAATCTTAATTGCATGTATTCTCTGATTTGCTTGAAATGTTTGTCTTTATAAATTGTTCCATTCTCCTGTTTTCTACAAATAGTCGAGTTTCCAATCAAGTTACCCTACCAGCAGTACTCTCTACTGAGTGTCAGTTTAATAATATTATTTCATTCCAGATTATTTTCTCGCCTTATCAAATACCGCTCCACTTCATTTTCGTATGAAAAAACAATATTCTCGTCTGCGAATTATCGAACAATGTATTTGCTTGAAAAACAACAACAAAAGAAAACATTCTACTAAACACATTTGGAAACTCCTGAGTACCAATGAAATACTTCGAGATGTCTCTCACCCATTTGGTTGTATTCGGATATACTGTACGGAATAAATAAATTTGCCGGTTTTTCGTTTTCTGAGGACAAACGTTTTAAGGGATGAAACCACAGTTCAAAAGTGGGGTACCCCTGCAATCACCCTCCTTTATCGCTTTTTGACATTTGGGCTACTCGGCATGAAAGACTCCAAGAACGTGCGTTCGGAGTGTAGAATGCCTTTAATAGGGGTCGATAAGAATGTGAGTAATGTAGGAGTGCTTTTCGTGGAACAAAGGCAATGATGTACGCG